GCACATCGAAATCCACAACCAGTCGCTACTCGCCCCCTCTTTGCACAGGCCGTGTCGCCCGCGGCAGTGCCCCTCTTCATGTTCTGCTTCCGCCGAACACTGCTTCAGGCGCGGGTTTGCTCGCTTGCCCGCCCATTTGTAGGCATCCATGTGTTTTCGCTCGCGCGCCTTCTTCCCTTCTCAACCTTCTCGATCCAGGCCTCCTCTCTTCTCCTGTGCCCGCCGAATGCCAAACGCTTTTGCAATTCTTCTTGCAACCGGGAACGAGGCCTGTTTTTCTTTGCTTTGTCGGCCTGACTCGAAAAAAAGCGCGAACGCGGCTGAGTGGTCAGATTTGGCTCGGAGTGATTTCTGACCACTCACGGGGCACCGGCACCTTAATGCGGGTCCTATTAGTGGTGGGATCCCTGCTGCACCTCATCTGATTGGGTTCGCAAATCGAGCGTCGGGTACCTCGCAACACCCACCTTCGGCGCCACCGCTCCACCGCAGCGTAGCCAGCACGGAAATAGCTGGCCCATTTATTATTTATTGGCTTCGACGAGGTCGAAAACGAACACAACCGCCAACAATAACGCACAACACACCACAGCAAGAAAGAAGATGCAGCACATCTCTCTCCTCAAGGTGCTGCTGGCCGTCGCCTTCGTCGTGGCCATGGCTCAGGCCGACCCGATCGGCGAGTGCCTGCGCAGCCGGCCCACGCAGGAGCTGACCTGGGGCTCCGAGGGCTACCTGCCCGGCTCCCCCGGCGAGGCCTCGCTCACGGGGTGGCGCGTCAAGCTGGGCCTCACCGAGGCCCAGTTCAACGCCACCGTGCAGGAGGCGTTCACCTGGTACCGCGAGCGCTACGGCATCGACACCACCCTGCTGGCCTACGACCCGTCGAGCGGCATCGCCGTGTTCCCGCAGGGCTACATGGTGCCCACCTACCTCAACGCCAGCGGCAACTACCGTCTGTGGTCCTCCAACAACCCGTTCACCATCGGCAACTGCTACGAGATGTCAGTCATCGAACTGGTCTTCTTCTTCTACGACCAACTCGCGGGCACCCCCTACGGCGGGGCCTACGGCGACTGGGCGCGCGTGTACAACCCGGGCGGCAGCAACGTGTCGGTGGGCGA